AAAGTCATGTACATAATGATGCAAATACACACGAAAATAAAAATTGCTAGAAACATTCTCCTTAAATTTCATGCATAACATGAATTTTTTAACACAATATAAAATAAATAAACAATTTTTTATCTTTAGATGCAGGATATGTCTGCTCCCCTTCATTCTCTAACAGAAAAGGAAGTCCCAAGGATCCGACTAAAATACCAAAAGTTGAAAGAACGGGGAAATGCTAATGACCCGATAACCCCGAATATGGGCCTCTCTAATAACGCGATTTAATTTTCAGCAATTAAATCGAATTATTTTAAATGTGACCTGCAACATGTGTTGCAAAATAATACATTCTTTTGTCTTCATTGCTCATTTATCTACATCGTAAATAATCACATGTAGTGTAAAATTTTGTTTGCCATAAAGAAAGACTATCCCAATCCATTGTATACCGTATAGAATGGATAATTGTTGTAAATTCCTTTTTTACTAAGTGTTATCCATACCATCGAATCGAAAGTAAAAAATGTTTTACTACAAAAGTTATTTAAAATCAAAAGTTCATAAATAATGCAAGCATTTAACTCTAAAACATCATAGATGGTATCAGATGCCATGTGGAAATTAGCATCACCTGCCGACCGGTCACACCCGCGTGTGCCCTTTGTCAAAGTCAGGAAATAAAAACGGAAAAATCTGTCGGTGGTTCAGTGTGTAAAAAATGTCTTATTATTCAGTCTGAAAAACGGCAGTCAGCATGTGACTTAATGAAAGACTGTATTTGCTACAATTGTAACAAGGTCATTGCAATTGCGTCGACTATAAAACTTACAAAACTACGACTTTAAAAGAGACTGCTTGTTTCAGCACATTGTCTGTCAACAATTTAACTCGTTTTAAAAAAAGTTCATATATATATATATATATATATATATATATATATATATATATATATAGAAAGCACAAAGAAATTCACTTTTACATGGATACCCACTTCCGCCCCAGCCCGGGGTTGAACTCTCGACCTTCGGAATCTGTCTCCTAGCAGTGCAGGAACAGCGCGCTAGACCGCTCGGCTATCTAGGCAAGTCAAAAAACTTGCTTTCGATGCCGATGGAATTCTCGCGGCGCTGCCCTACACTACGGTCATTGAGAATGGAAGTGAGATACAGTTATTTGGACATTAGTTTTTAGAAGATTGTTACCAATACATGTTGTAATGAAATTATTTTTTTTTTATAAAGCACAGATTACAACAACTCTTAAACTAATATAACTGCCCTAAGTGAAGAAATATTAATATAGAAAGTACAGAGAAAAATCACTTTTACAAGGATACTCACTTCCGCCCCAGCCCGAGTGACTTCTCGACCTTCGGAATCTGTCTCCTAGCAGTGCAGGAACAGCGCGCTAGACCGCTCGGCTATCTAGGCAAGTCAAAAAACTTGCTTTCGATGCCGATGGAATTCTCGCGGCGCTGCCCTACACTACACGGTCATTGAGAATAGAAGTGAGATACAGTTATTTGGACATTAGTTTTAACAGAGGATTGTTACCAATACATATATGTATATATATATAAAATCCAAATTCAAATGATAAACTCAAACTTTTATCTAAAGCGCTTTCGCCCCATGCGGGCTCATCAGTAAGTTAAAATCTGGACGACGCGTCTCGAGCGTCATTCTCGTGACGTTATGTAGGCAACGTTAAACATAATGATTGTGACGTAATAATAATCACAGTTAAATGAGGCGCACAGACAAAGTTTTACAGTTCATCTGATCAAAGTTAAGCGCCTATTATAAATGTACAATAATGGAGACATTTTATATAAAATGTACATAATAAAATAATTTGATATAAATTCCTTTTAGCAGTTCAATTTTGGTTTAAACAGATTTATAAAATATTGTTCTTTGGCTTTTCGTAATTGTTTCATTTTCCTCTTTTATTTGGTAAAAAGGAATATATAAAAATGTCCTTTGCCACAAGAATCAAAGTGTTCACTACATTGCGTGTTTGGTCTGGTCGGATCCTTAATCTGTTGTTTGTGCACGCGAACACGATCGGCTAATTTGGTTCCGGTTTGTCCTACATAATTTTCCTCACATGTAGGACACGTCATACAGTATATAAGGTTTTTAGATTTACACGTCATAGAAGATTTAACGTCAAACTTCATTCCGTTTTTAAAAATAATGGTTTGGCCGGTTTTTAAAAATTGACAGGTTCCGCATAGTGGATCCTCGCACTTAGAAACCATCGGTTTCTCGGGGTTCGATGTAAATTTGGCAGTGGTAAGAATCTTTTTCAAATTGGGAGGTTGACGCCTGCTGTGTAGTATATCCTTTGGTTTAATAAGGTCCCTTAATGTTTCTGATTGTTGAATAATAGGGAAATATATATATATATATATATGGTCTTATACGAACAAGAATATTAGTTATTATGTGATAAAGTCTTCCTTTATGTTTTGTTTGTTTGTTTGTTTGTTTTTTTTTTTTGTCATAAATTCAGCAGGAATTTACTAATTTTATCTTTTGAATATAGTATTATGATACAAATATTCCTCTTTTTATCACGAACATATATTTTTCAGGGCAAGAACATCACAAGAGAAGTGTTCGAAATGCTTTGGATAGAGTATTTTGTTTCAAATGAAAGGGTGGCAAGGGGTAATTACCTCTTTGGCATTCCAGACTTCATTTGAAATTTACATCGGCCAATGTCAGATTTCTGTACCAAGAGAGGTAACCTGCTTTGGGTTTCCTCTTTGAAAAATTTAATTCAGTTTTTGAGTTATCGTTCTTTTCAAAACAGAGAAAAGAACCGCTACGCCCGATAATGTGTAGAGAGAATTTATTTTATTTTTTTTTTCACATTGTAACTCATACCTCAAACAAAGTTATATACATGATTGTATTTCTTATTGATGATTAAAAAAATGTTAAGCTGAAATTAAATAGAGATAATCAACTTGCTTTATTTCTTGGAAATTGCCAAATTTTGTTGGAATGAGATTTGTTTTTCGGCATAAGAACGAACGATAACACTTATTGTATACAGGACGAACGATAACTCTAGGACGAGAAAAAAATGTGCTCTTAAATTTGTAATATTGTCTCTTATTTATTGTAGAAAATATTCATATTGTATTAAAATCCTAGAACTTTTTACTTTTATACATTTGGTATGTGTTCTATGTAGTAAAAATGTATAATGCATTATTAAATCACTTAAAACTATAATTTACTTTCACTCTGTTTTTAGCGGACATTACCGACAAACTGAAAAAAAGAAACCTTCGAATACAGGATGTTAAATTCTGTGTAAAATGTAGTTACTTTTGTTTTTTACCGTATTGAATATACAGATATTGAGGCCTTTTTCTAGTATATGTACATTTTACATGCAGTGGAGGTAAACTTCGGATTATGCAGGAAATAGGTTATTTCTTTGTTTTACGTTCTTCGTAAATTTTTTTTCGTTCGAATTTAGACGCCACCACTTACAAGTTGGGACTAAATGCAAATCTATACCAGTACTCGGCATCCAGAGCCATTCACCAGTAAGGAATCTTTTTCCTGTCAGTACCTACTGCAATACGGGACCTCAGTTTGGACATTTAGGTCTTATTCGAACGACCGGTCTCAACGTACCGATTCGGGATTCGAACCCGCGACACACGTTCAATATAAGGATCAACTCACTGCTTCGTAACTCTTGAACATTAACAACTGCATCACACATATAAAATTCGGAATTTTTTTTTTTTTTTTACAAAACGTCCCTGACCACACGCTTAATTATCAATTTTCAAAAAACAACAAATTGACTAAAATGTCCGTTCCTGAACACATTTACAAATATTTTTTTTTACATAGAAATGCACTGAAACGTTGGTGGCATATACATTTATGTTTTATGAAGCAGCTGTTCAAGAAATAATAAGATTTTTTTAAAACGACTCTGCAGCGTAAAAATCCTTTGCAATATATTTTTTTCACAACCTTCTTTCGTTTAAGTTGAATGCAGTAAAAAGGCACGAGGCATTTTTATTTAAATGATTTTTTTTGCCCTCCATTACGTAAATGACAAAAACAACGATGCATGACCGACGTGCATACAAACAATGTTTATATCAATTCCCCGACAGCAAAATTTGCTTATGCTAGTCTTTCACTTGCCTGAATCCTAAACATTAGGAATAATAATGATCATTGGTGAAAAAAAAGCAGGAGACTGTTAGGTGCATTTTGTTGAAAAGCAAATTTAGAGTCTATAATTTTAACGTTTATAAAACGAATCAGAAGGCACCCCCCTCCCCAACCCCAACCCCACCCTTAACACACACACACACCTAAAAAGAGATTCCCTTTCAAAAAAAAAAAACTCTTCTTCAAATGCTCAATTATTAATTCAATAAAACAGCATTGCTCTAAAAATTAAGTATAAATACATAATATTAATTAACGTTGTCTAGAAGTCTGGAAAAATTAACTGGATTATATTCGACCAGGTTTGATTTTTATCGCTCGGAATGGGGAAGCGGATGTTACATGTATCATTTCTTCAAATATTTCTTGATGTAATTATAGAGTTAACTTCAGGTATGTAAAGTTTTCATGTATATCTAAGTAATGAACATGTGATCAGCTACATGTACACTCTCATTTAAAAAAAAAAAAGAAATGTTCTGAGTGTTACGGAATCTCTGCACCAGAGTGCATTGATGTGTAAATGACTTTCAAATGTATGCATATATACCACAAACATGAATATTATTTACACCTCCTTTGTATGAACTGTTTACGTAAAGTACATTTTTCACACATTTCGTGAATCCAAATATTTAAACAACATTTTGATCATCAGTAGGCCTACGACTCCTAATCTACATATATAAAACCGCGAAAAGTGCGCTTAATTAATTACAAAACATTCTTAACCTTCAATGATCATTATTTACATTGCGTAAACAGAGAAATTATGTATAATGTTTCAACGGGAATTTCCAAAATATTCTAAAACATTTTAAGATATTGCTCTGCAGGATTTCACATAAATTTTATCATTTAAAAGACATTCCCAGCGGAATAATAAACCTGTGATAAATCGCAATCAAAATCTCACGACCTCTTTAAAATACGTGTCAGGTCCATTATAATACCCAAGAGCGAAACCCTTTTAGCCCCTTACAGTGAACGCGGTTCGGATGGGATGAGATCTGCGTGTACGGATAACTTTCGCTATGGGCAAAGCCGAATCTTTTGACTTTACAGACATGGCGAAGTATAATAGCGATGCAGAGTTAACACCGGGTAGCAGCAGAAAGGGGTGTTTTATCTCGCTATATGTGGGGATTTTAATTCTTTTTCTGGTGGTATGTTTGGTGTTAGGGGTCGGACTTTTGATCTTTTTCGCCAGAGCTGACCAGAACTGTGGAGATAAGACGGGATTTTCCGGAGGAACTACGGCGGAATTAGTTGAAAAATGCAAGGATCTAATTAATAAAGGGGATGCGGCTTTATGTAAGTATACCAGAAAATTTTATTTTATATTAAATAGTATTTCTCCCCACTCTCTGTCTGTCTTTCCCTCTCTCTCTTTTCCTGTCATTTTGGTATTTTTCAACCCATCCCCTCTCTCTCCCAATTTCTTTTTCTCTCCCCTCTTTCTTTCTCTTAATTTTTATGTTCTTAATTCTTAACTGAATAAGATTTTTATAACCTTGTACACAATGTCGACTGTTATGAAAACAACAAAGTATGCTATTTATACAGTACATCGTCTATGAATATAAAGTTTAATTTGATGCACATTGTTAATGCTTAGAATAAATTAAGTTTACCTTGAAAGAAAGCAAACAAGTGCTCGCGTACACAAATCCGTAATCAAAGAGATAGTCATTATGAAATGTAAAAAGTTACTCTCTCTCTCTCCCATCTCTCTCTCTCTCCTCTCTTTCTCTCTGTGGAATTCTTTACGTAATTATATAATACAGAACTGTGAAATCTGCAGCATTTCTAATTACTGGGTGTAATAAATATGTCACAGCTAATTAATTTCATCGCTCTCCTCCTACTTCACGTGTCGTTTCGCTGCGATGTGAAACACTTTCTAATACTTTTTACTTTAAGATTTATCGGTCTCAATGCGTTGTGCATTTGTGTTTTTGTAATTCAATTCGAGATAGAGAATATCTTCAGTTGTCAATTGCCTTGAAGAGCGGTTGCCAGGGTCAGTTAGCGTGTATAATGCATATATTAGGACAGAAATTAAAAAAATATATATAATTTAAATAAAAATTCTACTCAATTATTAAAAAAAAATCTGTTATTGAGATGAAATTATTTTTTATTCAAATATGCGGTTTTGTCTTTTGAAGAATTACAATAAAACAGGTTTTTTTTTTCATTCTATTTATTTCGGAAACAACCATTGCGCCTTTTGAATTGTAAAATACTCTTATCGCAGTTGTTTTAATGTCAAATCCAATGGCATGATTCTGCATATACAGTACACGTCAGAGATATATAGATCAACATACTGTAGGTAGTCACTCAATAAAAGGAGCGGATATAAGACTTCTAAGGGCGTAGTTTGAAAGACGAACTATTTAAAGGGGAAATGGGTTATACATTTTCATAAATTTCAATGACCCTTTAAATGAATTGATATGAATACATCTCCAGTCTTCATGTTACGTACATTTTTGTTACTAAGACTTAATCAAAAGTAAGTGTAGTACATAATGTACATTGAGGACGTTAAAATTCATTTCAAAGCACTTTTATTGCATGCATTAACAATGTTAAAATGCACCGCGGTGTCGTAAAATTGATATATCATTAAACACTTCAAGTACATGTATATATTTTATTCGGGGGGCTTCGTAGTAGCAATATAAAGGTAAAATTTACAACAGTGGTTGAACGACACAGCGGTCGATATGTAATCGGAAGAAATTTAAACATACTTGTTTTCAACAAATCAACCCGTATTTTTCTCTTTGTCAATCTATTTTAAGAGAGAGACAGAGAGAGAGAGAGAGAGAGAGTAATACATTGCTACATCAAACTGATACATGTAAGCATCCTTCAATTTTCTTTATCCTTTTCTTTTTTGGTTCGCGACAAATTCTTTTTCTGTTGATTTTTCTGAAACGTTAATCCAGAACTATTCATGCTTCAACCAACAGAGGTTCAGAAAATGAAACCCATTACCAACATATAATCCTAGATTTACAGATACCTCATATAATTAGGTTTATCAGATAAAACAATCGCATCACTTCAGCACGCGCATAGATTTACGCGTGCTGTATTGTGAGCGAAAATCTGATGACCATGGTCATGCGATCGGGGTTTTCGATCAAGGATAACAACTAGGATGTATGTATACATCCTAAAAAATATCACATCTATTAGTCTGAGAAAACATTACTCTGAAGGCATTCTCCATATTATATTTACGTTGTGTCATTAATTTGTATTTACATGTAACTAATTAATACCACCTTATTATGTCTGATAAGCTATAGGAAATGTAGGAGAGAGGTGTCTGACCTGGTTCAACGGACGGTTTCTTTTCAGAATAGATAACGTGCGAAAAAAGGCGAATGAAGGGAGGGGGAGGGGGTGTTAAAAGCCATCTTCAAAATAATGTTTACCTGCCCTCTCCCGAAAAATGGCTAATAATTTCATTTCAACAATCCCCCCCCCCCAAAAAAAAAAAAGAAAATATAAAAAATATTTAATACATTTAATTCGGATACCTCGAGATTATATTTTGAAATAAATAAATTAATTAATCGATCATTTTTTTTTTTTTTAATTTATATTGATTTATTAATTTTACTTCTTGTTATTTTCCCGTTTTCTGGTTTTTCATTCTGTTTTATGAAGAAGTAAAGTGAGTGCCTGTTTTTAAATATTTTATGTCATTTCCACAGAAAAAAAACACCGAGAATCAAAGCCAGTTAACCATAAAAAAAAAAAACGGTGATATATGTTAGAAATGTTTTACAAGATAACACAAAGATAAGAAGGCCTTCTTAATGACTGAAAAACGTTTTTAAAAGAAACAGATTTTATATATTTTTTAAAAATGGAATCGACATCATCATGAAGTATTTAGATGTCATGCTAAAAGTTCAGACTTATTATTTTAATCAAAAAATAGATAGGGTCTTCATATCTTAGCAAAGTGGCCAGGACGAACTTTTAGAAAAGGGGAGGTTATGATGTCATCTCAACTCTAGATCAATTTTTCTAATCCTTCGTGATCACGAGGCAATGTATATCTCTTTGTCAGGTACAGTTTGTTTTATGAAATTTTGATTTATTTTTCAACTTTTCCCCATGTGTAGAGAGACACAAATCTGCCAAGAATTTTAATCTTCCATCAAGATTTGGTTACGATTTATTTTTTTTTAAATAAAGACGAATAAACCGTCATGAGTTAAGATTATGTATATTATTTTTAGAGTTCAGATTAACATTTTTGAAATTGTGCAGAGCATCAGATATGCACATTGAAATTAATAAAACTTGCCAGCAAATGCATATCAGAAATTGCAACCACCTTCTTCCAATGATTATTTATAGACTTAAACACAGTAAAAAAAGACCCCTGTAAAATGGGTATGTTTTGTGTAGTAATTATTATTTATTTTTACTGTAGAATATTGATTTCAGTTTCCTTTATACAATTTTGCATGTGTATTGCCAAGCAGCTTTTAAGCTTATCAATTGACTTTCACTTATTTAGATTATCTTCTTTCAAAATGAAAATGCATCTCATCCGTTAAAAAAAAAATGGAAGTAAAATAAAGTGTGGTATTTTTCATATACAGTGCATCAAATATCCAAAGGTTTTAAACCCCTTCTTGCGATGTAAAAATGCAGTCTTTTCACATACATGTAGCTTATAGAATTCTTTCCATTCATACTTATGAGTGTTCGTAATGTTTTCTTTATATTTTCTACATTCAGTACGGTACACATTTTGACAGAAATGCTCTTAATTACTCGAAACCTTTATAATGGGAAAATACTAATTTCTATTATCTATCTATAAAAGTAAATGAATCGTATATCATACATGATGTAATTTTTCATCAATCGCCGGCTTTTTTTTTTTTTTTTTTTTTTTTTTTTTTTATAAATTTGTTCACCATCGAAAAAAATATCCGCCTTTAATAATTAAAGATTTGTCGTTTAATTCTTCATTATTCTGCATTTTAATATACATCTATTTATACAAAATATATTTTTTTCTCGGTCTGCTCTTGCAAAAATCTCACTACTCGTTTTAAAAGTTTCAATGTAAAAAGTACTTTTAAAATTCTATATACTGTAATATAACAGATCAAGATAAAATATCGAGCACCTCATAAATACATCACTGTCATGAGGGACTGGGTAATGTTAGTGAATGGGGAGCGCGGTGGGGTTTCCGGGGCGGCGTCAGATGTAACCTCCTTTATACGACGCTGCACGTCAAAAAATCCTGATAATGTAAGAATAACAGCTCATACTGAGAGAATGGCATCAGATTCGCTTCCATTCTTATTTCCCTATCTTTTATTGAACGAGATATTAACGACGAACTGTTTGCCATATGCTTGGAATTATGAAAGATAAAAGATAAAGGTATTATTGATATCAGGTTTAGCATATCAAACGTATACTTGAAAGATCGCAGGGTCTATGGAAAAATGATAGAAATAGAAGAAAATATATTAAAGAAATATTAAAAGAAATTTCAAAGAAGAGAGTACAAAACATAAAAATCAAACACACCATGATCTACTCTTTCATATCAATGTATGAATGAAAATTGAAGATGTCATGAAAAACCCATTAATTTATCAGATGTATGGGAGTTCCTAGAGAATGCGTTTCATTTCAGACCTGAAAATATTTTCACCCTATTTGTCATTTAGTTCCTAAATAGATTATCTTGTAAGATTTGTAACTGTCCAGGGTTTGAAATTATTTATCATTAAAAGTAATGTCAATGGATATTTGCGTAGAATTAAATCTAATATTCCACTCCTAGTGCAATTAAAATTTCTCACACACTTCTTTTTTTTATTATTTTTCTTTTCTACAACTGAAAACATTTACGCAATGAAGTGCTCGTCCCTCTTTTTCTTGCACTATAGTTAAAAGGTAACGTAGTGGTGCAAGACTAAAATTCTATTTAGAAGATGAATTCCAATTTATGCTTAAATGTCAAAAATATGACAATTTGAGGAAAAAATGTATAGAAATCTATAATTATTATACATTTCGACCAAGTATTTTTGAATTAATTCAATTGTTGTCAAGTTCAGATAAGGAAATATGTAATCTTGAAAAATATATATGTTTTGCATACAGAGTAAAAAATAAATGAATTGTTGGAATTATCAATGCTTTATTCGTACTACACATTATTTATGCTATTCATATGAATTGTTCTAGTGTGTAATATATATATGTGTTATGTATTTATACCTATGGGATGTATGTATCTTGGTTTTGATAAAATCTGAAATCTTAAATTTAATACTGTGAGAAGTTGTAGCCTATACAAGTAGAAACTGCAAAAATTTATTCTTATCAAAGGTAAGTGCCTTGCAATATCTGATGGAAAATAATTTTCAAACGTTAAAATAATTATCTTTCCAAAGGTGAAGCATGCAAAAAATCTACACCAGCCATTCCAGTCACGACACCAGCGCCCTCTAAATTACTGGACGTCCGGCTTCCCACCTCTGCACTTCCGGAACTGTATACCGTAGAACTCCAGCCCAACATGTACGAAGGCCCACCGGAACACTTCACTTTTAACGGATCCGTCCGCATCCGACTCAAGTGTTACGTATCTACCAACAACATCACACTTCATATAAATAAACTTAAATTGACCGAGGAAATTCGGGTGACGCCTGTTGAGGCCTCTAATTCTCTACGTTATAAGAGACACGAGATAGACACAACACGCCAGTTTTTAATTGTGTACACATCAGCCTTGCTTCAAGTAGGTCAATATTACGACCTTTACCTTTCTTTTATTGGCCCCCTGAAGGACGATCTACATGGACTTTATTTAAGCTCTTACAAAAGAAACAACAAAACTGTGTAAGTATTTTCCTGTCTTTATACGTTCTCACCCATCTTTTATATTCTACACGATATATCATTAATTTTGTAAGCAGTATGTTTTTTTTAAAGAATTGTACAATTGTTTAATAAAAATGTTTTGCCTTAGAAGTATTTTCCATAAACACATTTATCATTAAAACTTTTACAAGTCTTTTCTAATCCGTGAAATATTTAACTCCTATGCAAAACTCATGGATATTAATTTATTTTATCATTAAGACCAAAGAGAGGATTATTTCAATGAAACAAAAAACATATTGAAAATGCTTTTTTTTATTTGAAAAGATTTATGCATACAACGAGCAAAAAAAAAAAAAAAAAAAAAAAAAAAAATTAAAGAAAGAAAACAAAAACAATATTTGAAAAGTGAACTTCTTTTGAGTCTTTCATTCATTTGAATTGGCTGCATGGTGTTGTAAGAAGATGTACTAGATTTGAAACATGGCATTATTGTATCTGAAAAAAAAATGTTGCAGGAGTTCTAACGCTCTTACTATGAAAATTTAAATGAGGAGGTTTGTCCAATTTGTCGCCATTTTTCATAATATTTTAACAGATACGCCGCAACAACACAATTTCAAGCAACAGACCTCAGGAAAGCATTCCCGTGCTTCGACGAGCCAGCTATTAAAGCAAAATTTGATATCACTTTAGTACGCAAAGGTCATTTGACGTCATTGTCAAACATGCCAAAAATAGCTTCTGAAAATAGGTAAGTAAAGTATGTTTATTGTTTTTATGTGTTTGTCACAATTTCTATTTCAGGTTTACTGTTACGTCATTTCTAGCACCCTCGTTTGCGAGAAACATTCTACCATGTTTTGATGAACCTTCCATCAAGGCCAAATTTGACGTCACACTTTGGCGTAAAGAAAATATGACGTCATTATTTAATACTATCAATTTGCGATCAGAGGAGAGGTAAACAGTAAAGGAGTCCCTTTGCTAGAGTAGTATATTCTCAACCTAGTCAAGAAATACTATCTTAATCTTATTGGTATTATCTCTGCTAAAACACTGCTGAGTACCTCAAATCAGTATTTGCTTTGCAACAAATATATCACTTCTCTTTTGCAATATTAAGAAATAAAAATTGTTAGTTATCTGTGTTAAATATAATCACAAATTTTGTGGCTGCCTTCTTCATTAAACATTATTAATATTTCATCCTGCTGTGTACTAATCCTTCTTTTACATGTAAGCTTAAATTGCCAACCCCTATCCCTATGATGATACAACTTAGACTTGCAGCAAATGAACATACTTATTTTCCGGGTTTTTTTGTACCATGAGTTAATTAAATAATAAGATAAAAGATAATTTGCCATTTTATTTCTGTTAGTCTGTAGTTTTGTTTTATTTTTTTCCTGTTGTTGTCGCTTTTGTCAATATATACTTGTAATTTTAAACGTTCGCAGTCATTTTCACTTAACATATTAGAGATTAGATCTCCGAAAGAAAAAAAAAAACACTGTAAGTCCAGAAACAATAAGTACGTGAGCATAAAACTGACAATTGGTATAAACTGCATCACAGACTTCACCAAACTTACTGTGTATTCTTTTTTGAAAGTTAGATTTTTTAGAACACGGATAGTACTTACGACTTACGTACATTTTATGCAACTGATATTATTTTGGGGCAAATTACATTCCAAAAATACCGGTATATATTATATCATTTTTCAGAGGCAACGGTTGGATAGCTGATCGTTTCAAAACGACGCCCCCGGTTTCCACATATTTGTTGGCATTTATCGTCAGTGATTTCAACTTCAAGGAGGATGTAACGGCTAACAACATAACTGTACGTCATCTTGTTCGATACTTCATCAATATTTCGTACATTTATTTCCGAAAATTTACAACACATTGTTTGGTATCAGACCATTTTTACGATGCTTGTCCAATAAAACACATATGTTGATTGCCAGATTTTCTTTTCAGCCTCATTCTCATAATTCATATATTTTTCCTCCCTACGCTTGCTTCTCCTAATTTTATCATCAATATTACCCCCCCCCCCCCGAAACATAAAACTTAGAATTCGAATCTTATTCATAAAACGCCTACCAAGACTTTCAGTACTTTGATTTTTATTCAGTATAGGGCCTGGGCGAGACCCGAGGCTATAAATCAGACGGAGTATGCGCTCTCTGTAGGAACTAAGGTTCTCACCTACTTTGAAGACTACTTCGGAATCCCTTTTCCATTACCAAAGCAAGGTATACTTTATTTTCCATTTAACATTGTTTAAATTTATTTCAGTTCCCCCCCCCCCCTCAAAGAACCAGCTTTTTTGCCAATAAATTATCAATTTAAAGTCTGGGTACAGAGAAAAAGATTTATTGACAGGGTAGAGAACAATCCGTTTTTTATGCATCATATTTTGGACTTATAACTAAAGATCTAATGGTTCAGAATCTGCAAGTTTTACGCACATACATGTAGGCCTACATATAATTCTATGTTATAGAGCAATAAGATCATGTACTCTATAAATTTTAAACACTTTGATGGATATTAACTTATACCCACTATTTTTTCTAGGTTTTATACATAAAACGCATTCCAAAATCAAAACAGAAAATCTTTTTTTCTGTTTTAAGCATTTTGCCCTTAGGTATTGACAAAGCAAATAACATAGTTTACAAGATATTTATTGGTGCGAATATCAACAGTTTAATGAACGCAAACCATCGTTCACATAGCTAGATTTTACGGAGTAAATTTCCACCCAAAACTATCACTGAAACAGTTTTCACTCCACATTACAATTTGAAAAAGGCAAAAATCTACAGGGTAAATTTCCTCTCAAAAATGACACTGATACAGTTAACATACAGTAGTCAATTCAAAAGAGACTATCCTTGATATAACAAGATTTTACGGAGTAAATTTCCTCCCAAAGAATATCACTGATACAGTATTCACTACAACAATTACAATTTAGAAATAGCAAAAATCTACAGAGTAAATTTCCTCTCTAAATTCACATTGGTGCATTGTACATTCAGTATTTCAAAGCCAAAGCAACCATCGTTTACATAGCTAGATTTTACGGAGTAAATTTCCTCCCAAAGACTATCACTGAAACAGTTTTCACTACCACATTACAAATTGAAGAAGGCAAAAATCTACAGAGTAAATTTCCTCTCAAAAATGACATTGATACAGTGTAATAGACAGCTACATTTTAGGGGGTAAATTTCCTCCCAAAGAATATTATTGATTCATGTACAGTGTTCACTACTAACATTACAGTTTGAAAAAAGCAAAAATCTACAGGGTAAATTTCCTCTTAAAATGACAATGATACAGTGTAATAGACAGCTACATTTTAGGGGGTAAATTTCCTCCCAAAATATGTCACAGATGCAATGTTAACTACTAGCATTGAAGTTTTGTAATAACAAAAAATCTGCAGAGTAAACTTCCTCTCTAAATTCACATTGGTTCATAGCACATTCAGTATTTCAAAGCCAAAGCAACCATCGTTTACACAGCTAGATTTTACGGAGTAAATTTCCTCCCAAAGACTATCACTGATATAATGTTCACAACTACATTACAATTTGTAAATAGCAAAAATCTAGAGAGTAAATTTCCTCTCAAAATGACATTCATACAGTAACATACAGTACTCAATTCAGAAGCGACTATCCTTTATATAACAAGATTTTACGGAGTAAATTTCCTCCCAAAGAATATCACTGATACAGTATTCACTACAACAATTACAATTTAGAAATAGCAAAAATCTACAGAGTAAATTTCCTCTCTAAATTCACATTGGTGCATTGGACATTCAGTATTTAAAGCCAAACCAACCATCGTTTACATACCTAGATTTTACGGAGTAAATTTCCTCCCAAAGAATATCACTGATACATTGTTCACTACATTTCAAAATAGAAAAAAACTCTAAAGAGTAAATTTCCTCTCAAAATGCACGTCAGTGCATTGTACATTCAGTATTTCAAAGCCAAAGCAACCATCGTTTACACAGCTAGATTTTACGGAGTAAATTTCCTCCCAAAGAGAATCACTGATATAGTGTTCACAACTACATTACTATTTGAAAATAGCAAAAATCTAGAGAGTAAATTTACTCTCAAAATGACATTCATACAGTAAACATACAGTAGTCAATTCAAAAGCAAATAGCTTTTATATAACAAAACTTTACAGGGTAAATTTCCTCCCAAAGAATTTCACTGATACAGTGTTCACTTCTAACATTACAGTTTGGTAATAAAAATAATAAGAGTAAATTTCCTCTCTAAATTCACATTGGTGCAATGTACATTCAGTATTTGAAAGCCAACGCAACCATCGTTTACATAGCTTGTAGATTTTACGGAGTAAAGTTCCTCCCAAAGAATATCACTCATACAGTGTTTACTACTACAATTACAATTTGAAATTAGCAAAGATCTACAGAGTAAGTGTCCTATCAAACATGACATTGATACACTGTATATTGGGTCCTTTCGACAGCTTAACTTTACGGAGTAAATACCACCCCCCCCCCCCCGCAAAGTATAGCACTGATACACATGTACAGTTTTCAACATATCTATAAAACGTTGACATTTTCAAGTGAACAAAATCTACAGAGTAAATTTCCTCTCAAAAATAACATTGATGCATTGTACATTCAGTATTTGAAAGCCAAAGCAACCATCGTTTACATAGCTTTTTGATTTGACCATGTTTACGGAGTAAATGTCCTACCAAAGAATATCAGTGATACAGTGCTACCTACTAACATTTACAGTTTGAAAATAGCAAAAGTCTACAGCGTAAATTTTTTCTCTTAATTCACATTGGTTCATTGAACATTCAGTATTTCAAAGCCAGAGCAACCATCTTTAATATACTAGATTTAACAGTCATTATTTGCAGTAAGAAAATAAACATTATATATAGAAAACAGCAGAACATCAGAGGGTTAATTTCCTCTAAAAATAAATTGATACAATATACACTTTTTACAGGAAAAAAACATACATGTTACATCTTATTGAAAAAAAAGACTTTCGAGGGACATTTTCATCTCAATATACTAATGATGTAATACATTATCTTTTAATCTATAAATAAACAACATATAATCCATACAAATGCATACAGTTTTTTTGACTGATTTCAAGCCGTATTCAACGAGCGGAGGGGGTTCAATGTGCATGCAGTAGCATGTTGACGTCACAAACAATATTCAAAGTACGTTGAAAACTGTATTGTCCAGTCTATATCCGAGAAGGAAAAAGGAAAAGGAGGCAAGTCCCTCTCTTGATTATTGTTGAACAATTTGATTTCAAACACATCTATCACATTTACTTTCTTTGACCGAAGCTGATCCACTTCTATGCTTTCCTTATGGCTTATGCAATTGAACACTTGCTGAATGCATTTCCAACATGTCCAAAAGAAATCTGGCCGCCATATTCTGAACAAATCCATAGTTGACCTATTGATATAATTTTTAGACTCGTAAATCATCTCATATAATTATTTTTAAACTTTCAATTTTTCAAAACCCATGGGCATTTATTTCTTCAGGCATGCCGGATTACATGTTGTGCACAATTTTTGTAATATCGAAAAATAGTCTTTCCGTTGGTTTTTCGTATGGAAATTTCATTCATCTAAAGAACACGTACATATACCCCCAGTCTACACACACATTTAGACAAACTAAGACAAGATAAATTTTATTTGAGGATGATGTCAATTTTCTCATATAAAACCAGATCATATACTATTGCATTAATCACGATTTTGCATTCAGATTAGTTCATACAGGACATATGCAATTAAAACACTAATTACTACGCCTTGAATTTTAAAAGGGGAGTTCAGAGAGATAAATGAAAGCAACTACCTTGACCAAGGATCGAAATCCTCATGAACTGTAGTTAAGGGTAGAATTCATTTGAAGACACTACCTTAATTACATTTATCGTAACATATACATAATTATATAATTGTACATATACCTTTATTGTTCAATGTTTGGTCTTGGTTTCAATATTTCTCCATTCATCAGAAAACAGTCACTTTTATGTCCAGTCGTCACTTAAACCACTCCTGAAATAATTGCGTTCACAGAATGTGGGGCAGTCTAACTTGGTTTTCTTTCCCTAACTTGCTTCGTGTTCTCTGTGACTTTGAAGTAGATGAACCACTGGGCAGAATGCAAATATCCGATGCCGCCAATTTCAAAACTGCCATACACACAAATCATTATGTAGTATATAAATCGGGAAACGGAAAAATAAACTGTTTTAACACAGAACTTAAAAACAAATCAATCGTTTTCAAGATAAATGAATTAGATTGTTGTGAGAGAAAATTGAGATGGTCTGCTTCTCATCATTTCACCATTTTCTTTTCCGCTGTATGAATCCCCGCTGTTACACTTGTTATCAACCCTTTGTATTGGATAGAGCTGCGGCCATGTCATAATAATCTGACCTAAATTAAGCTGTTATTTCAGCATTTTCTCACCATCAAAATCTAAGCCCGTCAAAAGCACAAGTTACCATACTATTATTTACAATTTGTTGATATTTAACATTATACTCTGCTGCAAGTGCATTAACATTATCTACTCGTGTCGTAGTATTTATTATTTTTTGTAAATATGCGGTTTCAAAGATCATGAAGATGAAAAAAATCACGGACAATTATTCCTTTTCGATGATATATCTACACTAACACAATGAGATTAAAAAAGAGAAAAATAAGCTTTATGAAAAAAACTTTTTATGACAATAGAACTCCAATATTGTATATGATTTGCTTTCTTTATGCCAGTGTCTTTCGATCCTATTGTAATTTATTATTTACAGATTATTGGATGTCAGACTGCAAAAATTGTGAAGAATGATAGTAAAAATTTGAAATATATATTATTTTATGTAGCGTAATTACAGTTACACAATCTGTCTATTTCTTCTTTTTTAATTTAAACGTGCCTTTTTTTTTCACTTTTAACACTAATACTGTATAATTTGTATATTTACAAATTTAAAGAATATACATGTATAAAAAAGAATTTAACTACAGGGGAACTTGGATAAGGCCGAGATTGTCTTTTCTTTTACACTGGCTGATATCGAATTTTTTCATTAAGTTGAATTCCCGAGTGTTTTAGCATTACTCTCTTTGAAATATTTAATAATTAAAAAATGCACAGATAGACTAAATTATTTTTGAG